GAAACATGTCCAATCGAGGTTGCCAGTATAGAGACCTGGATGGAGGTAAGGAAAGGGGTTACTGCTTCAGTAAGGGCCAATATGGAACAATTAACAACATACAGAAAGGATTGGTCTGTATGAGAGAAAGAACCATACAGAGGAGTCTGATCAGAGGTTAAGCATAGAGATGAAGGCCCCTCCAATCCTGACTGAATGCATCTACCCCCAGAGCTGAGGGGTGCAGAACAGGAGACCAAAAAGAAGGAAGTTTGGCATTCCAATGGGTTGCAAACGCATCAATATGAAGTGTACCCAGACAAGAACACACCCACTGAAAAACCCCTGGATGAAGGGACCAGTCTGTAGGATAAACTTGGTTGGGTGGGATAGATAGTCTGCAACCAGATTCATAACACCAAGAGTGTGATGTTGTAGCTGTGAGCCCAGTATAAGAGGTTGAGTGTGAGAAAACACAGGGTCCTGGACTTGGTACCCCCTTGTTTGGAGATATAACTGACAACAGTTAAATTTTCAGAATGAACCATAACCACTCACTCTTGTAAGAGTGGGAGGAAATGAGTGAGAGCCCGATGAACCACCAACAGTTCCAGCTTGTTGATATGGTAAGTAGATTTCTCAACGGACCACCGAACAAAAATCTCCTGAAAGTTGAGAGAACCCCCCCCCCAACCCACCAAAGAAGCAAGTTGGGATGAGGAAGAGGAACTCCCACTGTGGTAAGTGCCTTGTCAAGCCACCAAACAAGGTCAGCCTTGATCCATGGGGGAAGGGTAATAGGATGATCCAAGGGATCGTGGGAGAAGTTCTACTGGAGTGAGAACTTCCTGGGAGGCCCACGTCCCCAACAGAGGGAGAACCTCTCAAGGAGGAAGAGAAGGTGAAGTCAGAGCCCAAGTGACTGCTCATTTCATATCTAGGAGCTAAATTGGAAAAGGCTGAGCCTGATTGAGATGGGAATTGAATGGGAATGACAGAGAACTTCTCCACCTTGATGAGAAACCCCACCCGAGCAGACTTCCAAAGAAGGAAGCAGGTGTGATTGGCAGATTGGGCTCGGGAAAAGGCGAGCAGGAGCCAGTCATCCATGTAATAATGAGTCCACAGACCCAACAAATAAAGATGATGTGCAAAGGCATGAACAACCTGACAGAACACACAAGGAGCAGAGGCAAGACCAAATGGTAGTGCAGGGAATGGGAACACATCCAACCCGTGGATCAACTGAAGATAACGACGTGACTCTTGAGCAATGGGGATATGAAAGTAAGCATCTGTCACATCCAAAGACCCAGGGAAAAACCCATCGAAGAGAGAGGTAGGATGAATCCATGGTGAATCAGGGTGTGTCCAGAAAGGCATTCAGCCAGGATAGATTGATAAAATAATAGGTCTCCAAACAAACAGATGGGAGTAAAAACTCAGACGAACAGGCACCACATGTTCTATGGCACCCATGTGAAGAAGATCAAGAACTGACTCCGCTAGAAGAATGGACAAGACACGATCCCAAGGAGGAGGAGGAGGGGACTGGAATTGAATGCATAGACCCTCTGACAGAACCCATAACACCCGTAAATCCATCATGAAGGGTTTCCAGATGGCGGAAAGAGAGTTGTAACCTGCCCGTGGAAAGACATCCCATCACCAATAACAGTGAGACCAATAGGAATGGAAAGAACGGATATAAGGAAGGGAATGTTGGGAGTAGGGAAAAGGGCGGGGTGAAGAAGGAGGAGCACTCAAACAGGTAAAGATTGAGCAGAATCAGTAGAGCGCAACAAATGAGAAGCAATGGAAAATAAATAATGCAATCTTGCCATATTGACCCTGGACTCCAAAGATTCAGGAAGACCCACCAAACACTATTTCATGCAGAAATGGGGCCTGACAAAGTTCCCATAACGACAAAAGGGGGAGACATTCCCACAAGTAATGTACCTCTCCTGAGTAAATTCCAACAACACATAATCCAAGTGGTGATGGACAAGGCTGAAGCCAACAGCTGTGCCATAGTAGACCACAGGAGGGTCCAGAGATCGGGCCAAGAACTGATCAGGAGACTGATGGAAGGCATGAGGCAACAGCTGTAAAGAAGAAAGAACATGTAAAAGATTGGTCAATGTAATGTGAATCGTAGTAAACTGGGACCTATTCAAATATTCCGAAGCATCATATTTAGAACACCACAAGGAAAAGAGAGGATCTCAACATTGAGAATCCAAGTAGGGATTCGAGGCACATTGGTAAGTAAAATGATAATTGGTCCAAAAGCCAAAGCATACCCACTCCCGACTGTACTTGAGCAGCAAAACATTGAGCATGAACAAGAATGTTGGGAGAGGGAGAAAAATAATAATAATTGGAATGAGGCTCTTCACCCAACAAGGACGGAGTAGAAGAATCAAGAGCTAAAGGGGAGACATGTAAAACTTGACAAACCTGATCAATAAGGTGTAAGAAAGGTATGGTCAGCCAACTCTCCCGATTTTCAGAACTATGTGACTGGCCAAGTCAAAATTGTACTTCCCTGATGAAAAACTTCCTCAGAAATATGGTCCTGGGAGAAGGACCAGAAGAAACCGTGAAAGCATCCAACTTCTGTGAATCTTCTCGGCCAACATTGGAAACTTGCCAAGCTGGGGAGTAGTGACATGAGTTTTGTCCATGTTGGCAGGAACTTCTTCATCCACTACAAAATTTGAATTCATAAGTCCATGTGAACTTTTGAAAAAAAAAAGTAAAGGAATTACTAAATGAACAAGCAATTCCAACTACAAGTGAAAACTAGCAAGAAGACACAAAAATGTAGCCAAAATTCGCTTGAAGAACAACTGAAAACACATGTCTGAACACTGTAGTGCCAATCGAAAAAGTGAGGATTGTGCTGCAATGGTAGAGGGAGCTACCTACGCTAGTATAGATGATGCAATGTGATAGGTGGAGAGTAGCCACATGATCAGCACATGTTGCTGCAATGAGGCAAAAAATATAGGGGTATAAAAGTCTGGTGCACATAAGATTTACCAATGCCTAGAGTGCAAATGAAGGTCGAGATAGCTATAGGAGAGGAGGTAGTACCATTTTGGAATTTATACATTTTTGATTGTGGTTTTAATTCTTGTTAATTTTTGTAGCAGTATCCCTACTTCATTTTAAAATTCATAATTTTTAATATTCTTGTTTTTTGACTTTTTGTATTTACCATTTGTATTATACCTGTATATGTATATTGGTTTGAAAAGATATTTAAGTACGTGCATGATATGTTTATCATTTATATATATATGGATTTTTATCAGTATATCAAAAGCAGATACCCACAGACCATTCAAGTAAGCTGGAAAAATCTTTTAGCAATAGTCCGAGCCATCTAGGCTGTTTTAGAAATTTTTGAATTGTTATACCAGAAATATTAACGACATTTTTAGCATATCATTAGTATATATGCGCATATCTCGTAACCAATACTTTGAATGGTTGGTTTTTCACTTAGGAATTTAATAGGGTGGTTTTCGGTGCATGAATTATTTGGAAATCTTGTGAATCCCAACTATTAAGTTTTACTGTACTTAAAATCAGCATAATGTGCTTCCATACTCAAGTTTGTGTTATTTTTTTTGTGTAATAAACTCATCTAGTAGTGGATTCTACATACTCTTTTAAATTGCTGAAACAAGGAAATGGAAGATTATGCACAAGCAAATGGTCAGTCTTGAGAACAACAACTTTAAATTAAAAAAAAAGGTTTTTACCTTTAACATAGGCTTGAAACAAATCTAACTTGTATTCATGGATATAACTGTTGACTTACAAGACATGAAATGCTGTTTTGTGTAAGACAACAGGTTTCTTTGGGATAATAAACTGTAAAATTTGAAAGGTGGCAACTTTGTTTGGAGATTCAGGTAAAAGTTATCAACAAAATTAGTACAAAGTCTAAGTTTGAGAACTACCATAATTATTATTTCATCATTGAACAAGCCATACCAACTAACAAGTACAATTCTGTAAGCTCAATCAATCAACATTTTGTAACAGATGCAAATATGAGCTTGTGATAAACATTCATTTCAAAATAAACACTGTTATTATGTACCAAAGTAACTAAAATGTAAAACTTAAAGTATATTTACATCAACTGTAAATTTGATGCTTTAGTGTTTACTAGTCGAATAATATAAAACATTGGCTGCATATTTTCATGAGTGAAAAACAGCATCATTAATGCAACATATATTATGAAAACATTCCTTCAACAACCACTTTATGTTAATGCTCACCCCATAAATATTATTATATACAACTCTTTTAAACATAAAATGTATCTTAACAAAACACAAAAGTAGAGGTTAATTTAGAAATACACCTCTACCTCAGTGAATAAAGTTAAGAAAGAAATGCAATAAAGGATTCATGTTTGCCAATCTGTTGTCAGCCATAAAGCAAAATAACTTAGTTTACTCTTTTTTTTCCTCAGCTAGTAAGCTTTTTTGCATTTTGTAATTTTCAAGTTGGGCTGCTTTTATTTAAACATGATATATTTCATTATTAACTAGAGCAATGTGGAATATTAACAGTCAAAACAATATATAGAAATATTATACTACATTTTTTTCAAATTTGAATTGCTTAAATTTCTGAGCTTTCAAATATGGTGTTAGGAAAATATCTAGGTTCAAAAAATGAATTTTAAGACCAAAATACAAAACCATATATTTCAAACACTGTCAAAAGGTGGACCTATTTTTCATCAAGGGCAAACTCCCAAATGTCAATTTTCAACCAATACTCAACATTTTATAGTACTTGACTGTTAAAGACAATCAGCAATTACATTAATTAACACTTGTAATCCACTTTCAAGTACAGTATATACAAGTGAATGATGGATATATAGTGCAGAGAAAAAGTAAATACCTCACCATAAAATTAAACAAGTAAAATAATAAAACCCCATGCTTTTACGCATGTCATAAGAGAATTAACATCTAACTAACCTGTGTCGGGGATATATCGAGCAGCATGAATCCAACTTCCACAGTAATGGAAAAGAAATGTGTGAATTCTGGTAACCTTTTGCTCTGTTAGTAGAGGCATCATATTCTTTCCATCTATTAAGAGGTCAGTGGGCAGTGTTTTATTGGCCAAGTTCAATATGGTAGGGAACAAATCCATTTGGCTAGTAGGAGTATTAATCTCAAGACCAGCGGGTATTCTTCCAGGGAACATCACTACGGTAGGAACACGAATCCCTCCTTCCATTCCACCCATTCCTTTGCCTCCTGTCAGAAAAAATGTAACTATTAATGTAATACAAGCCAAATATTTTACCTTTTCAATAACAAAGTGGTAGGTGATAATGTATATTTACTTTTTAATGTATGCACATTATGTATACATAAAATAAACAGAAAAAAGTGTTTGTTATGAAGTTCTCTAAGCATTGACATTAGTATAAGAATACATTTCAATCATAATATTAAAATTTCTGCTTAAGTACTCCAAACGTGTAAGCTATTATTCATAACAAAGTTATGATATTGCTCAAATGTTTGGAAATAACATCAACTGAATACATATATATTAGATACATCAAAAACTTAAATACATATGTGCTAACATAAATGTTTCTGAAGAGTGAAGGTTAGACAACGAAAAATATCAAATACAATAAGTATATATTGTTCAAAAGGTGAACAAAATGAAAGATCGAGCCTTATAATTCAACCGACTTTAGGAGAATATGTTTAAACAAAAAAAAGTTATATGGGTAAAAAGAGTGCATGTAAGAATTACAGACACTATAAAGAAAACCATGATTAAAGCTCTACGTGTACAAGAAAAGAGCCATAGTGAAAAATACTGCATGTTCAAACCATGATAAGACATTATATATAGACACTTTAGGAGACAAAATGAAAAAAAAACATTATAAATCTAATTTGGCAATAGCCGTCATGTGGAAAGAGCTATGTTGACTGCACATAGGTAAATCTGACAACTCTACACTGGCTTTCTGATGATATAGTCCAGAATCTGTTTGGATGGACCTATTTATTTGTCTACATCTTTAGGAATGGTACTCTGAATGTTTTGCATTAGAGGAATGGCATTCTGATATCATCTGTCAGACTTTTAGTTGGACCCAATTTCATTATGTTGAATTATACATGTAATGTTATGTTGGTGTCTATAATGGATGGGAAGCTACCATTAGAATAGACTGGCTACCATTTACTTTGGATCCCATTTGCACAAGACACAGATGGGACTGATTTCAGAGATAGATTTAATGTCTAACTCACTCACCAATCATGTTAGATAAGAAGGGACATACCTTACAAAAGTATTACCCAGGACCCCATTAGTGTTTAGTTAATTATAATCATAATGAAAATATCTAGTAAAGAAAATAACTCATATTCATTAATAATAACTATAATTGTAAACTGATAAAGAAATAGTAATGAAAACAAAAATTCATTATCTGACTAGTTTGGTAAAAATTGACATTTCATTTGAAATCCATTATTAGTATTTATTAAATATATTGCTTATAACAATTTAAGTGAATGAAAACTTTGTATCAAGTAGTATTTTGTGTTAAAGCAGTGTACAATGATTAAATATTCATATGGAACGGTAATGTAAGCCTGCAGAAACATTTTTGTTTCAACATAGTCGTATTCATAAAGCATTTTCCACTAAAAATAAATATTTAAATTGTTTATAGATACTGTTAAATTAGCATTATAAAAAATGTATGCACAGATTAATGTCATTATCACTCTGTTAACTGTAATCTATATATATATAAAAAGATGAAATGCATGTTTGCACCAAAACTCCTCTGAGCTATAAAATTGAACTGAACCCTATTTCTATTTTGTAAAGCCTGTTGGTTAATTACTCCCAGCATATTGCATTATTCTCAAACAATCTTGGCAGGTTGATGCTTTTAAGAATGTTTAATATTTTAAAGGGATTCAAGATCAAAGTATGAAAGTTGCTGAATTGTTTCTCAAACAACCATGCTTTTCACATGGTCAATGAGATATAGGGTGTTCAAGGGTGGGATCACCTCAAAATCTCTATTTGTTAGTAGATGGAAAGCAAACTGCAAATGTTGTTCATGAAGAAGTTTTATTATAATTTTAAAATTTTGAAATAAATTTTATGTTCAAGTTATTAATTTGAAACAAATGATTGCTGTTAAACTTACATTGATTTAATTAAATTAGACATTCCCCATCAGTTGATGGGTATTTCAACTTGTGTAAGACATAAGGTGCTGATGCAAGACCAAAAGGTAGAGCCCTGAACTGCAGAACCTGACCCTTGTGCATAAATCTGAGACATCCGAGAAGATTTTGCTAAGGGAATATGGAGATAAGCATCAGTAACATCAAACTTGGCCATCCATAGCCCTGGAGCAAAGTGCTTTCATAGGTTGAGAAAGGATTCCATAGTAAATCAAGGAGGATATGAAATTAGTTGAGTCGAGACAGGTCAATGATTTGACACCAATCTTCTGTCTTCTTGAGTACCACAATTAAATGGGAATAAAATCCCGGAAGAACTGGATCAACCCTCTACTACTGCTCTTTTGACTAACAGCTCTCTTATCACCTGGGAACAAAGCTCCACTCGTCATGAATATATTGGAGGTGACAAGGCAACAGGTTGTTCAGATAAACGTGGAGGTGATGTAAACTGAGTGACCAACCCTGAATTCAGAGCATGGATCCCTGGTGAAAAAACTCCATATGTCCAGAAAATGATATACACTGTGGTCCCACTGCTCCCCTGCCCACGAGATAGGTACTGACACTGTTGTTGGCAGTCAATCCGAGCTGAAAATCCTCGAAAATACAAACGGACTCTAGTATGTGAACCAAAGGAGGGAACAGAGAAAACTAAGAGCCGACATTCTCGAATTAGTGCCAGAAAGATGAAAAGTCAATGATGATAAAGAAGAATGATAACAAACTGAATAAAATCTTGATTCTAATGTCTCTGGAACTCCCGCAAACAACATGGGTCAGAGAAAAAGGAGTTTCCTGTAACTCCCTGATGGCAGAATACTTTAAATGAACACTTTTTAACAAAGAATCTCTACCTAATAAATCCCAACAACAAACCAGTCAGAAAACCAGAGAAAGAACTGAAGTAGATGTCAGCAAAAATCCCCAACTCGACCTCAAGTTGCTGAGGGTAACAATACTAGGCTTCCAACAAAAGTTGGATCAAAGATAAATACCAAGAAAACTGATCTGTTTAAAGTTATCCCAAGTTCCAAACGATACCCCCACAGGTCCAAAATATGGGGTCCATTCATTGAGAATCAAAATATACTCCCTCCTGGGGGTGATAAGCCAAAGCATGCTGTTCCAATAAATGTGGGGACAAGGCATAGATATCCTGTTGCATAACTGAGCGGCAAATCTCCCAACATGAACAGCAATATCAGGAGGAGGAAAAGCCAAGTGGTCACTTGCCATCTTTGCTGTCAAAAAAGAAGGGGTAGAGTCAAGTGCAATAGGAGAGACCCCCAAAACCTCACAAACCAGAGTAACCAACTGAAGAAAAAATGGCTGGAAGCAGCTAATTAAAATGATCCTCTGTTGAGGCCAACCTAGTAAAGAAAGAAGCCAGAAAAAGAAACAAGTTTAAATTTTCCCCAGCTGGTTAGAATCATGTGTAAAAGCCACCTCAAAGCCCCCTGGAGAGACACTCCCAGTCCGCATATATGTGTCCATCTCGTAACGAATCATATCACAGACAGCCTTGACTGAGAGTGATCCCTCCCCTAGTCATTGACAAATATCAGACAACGGAGGTGGAAGAGAAGAGATCTGAATGGCCTCCGTAATAGAAACATTAACTCGAGAATTCATACCCATCAGAAATTGTTTTTTCTTTTTTATTATTATTATTATCAAAGTAATTTATAAATATACGAAGATATAACCATAGTAACACAAACCACGTTCAAAGTCGCAACATAAATTGTGAATAATCACAACACTCCTGTTTATAGAAACCCATGGCAAATGCTTTGTCAAGAAAAAGTAATTACATTATCTGAATAAGGTGCTTATATACAGTACCTAGCTAGAGGGTGCATTGAAGTTGGTGGAGAAATTTGCAGATTAGAATTTGCTAAGGGCATTCGAGTGGGATATAAAAGATCGGAGTAAGTGTTTTCATTGCTTAGATGGGCAAAGTGGAAACCCTGGAGATCGAGAAATAGCCATGGTGTCGGCAGAACAAAGTATGTTTAGGAATATTCAATACTCGTCTTCCTTTATTAAATCATTAATTTTTGGCAAATATACTTTATTAGAAATTCTTATTTTTTCTGTACAAAAGACTTGTAATGTTTACTGAAAGCTTGCCAAATTTTGTGAAGATAAATAAATCATATTGTATTGGACGATGTATCAATACAATTGTATCATGGCTTCACAATACTATACTCATATTGCTGTATTGCCAAACTTTTAATAAATGCAATCCAGTCACAAAAAAGGACCATGGATAAATAACTGTCAGTGAAATATTTGCAAAACATACCCCCTTAATGTTTTGATTTCTAATTTATTGCATCCATTGCATGCTATCCAACTAAAAAAAAAAAAAACTAACCACTTACTCCAGCACATTCAATTCTGTAGAAGTCATTATCAATTAAACAATAATCAGAACCGTTAATATTACTTTTCACTAAAGCCTTATACAGATTTAGTAATATCACTAATTAACTTTCTTGTGACTATTTATCACTGATATTAAACTATTTTACCTAATGAAAATATTTATTTTAGCTAAACAAAACTCTTCTAGTTTTGTATTAATGAAAATTTTTCAGTTTTATGAAAATAACAGATTTTTAAACCAAATCCTCTGTGGCCAGAACAAAATGTTCTAAAAACTTCAACTGCTTTTAAAGTTATCTGTGAACATGTGTTATTTATGCATGACTCTACAGCATGAGTATCATTAGTAATGTTAAGTTAGAGAAGGTAGCTATTTATGACTTTTCTAAAAGTAGCACTCTCCAGATTCAAAATAAATTTGATCATGATAAGTTTTTTATTTTTCTAATTATACTTACCTTCATGCTAACCTCAAAACAATGTTAAGTACTAAAAGTAAAGAAAAAACTTTACAAAAAAGGAAATAAGTGAAGAAATGGCTAATATCAATCCTTTAAAAACAATGTAGACAAGACAGTAGGGATGGCACTTGCATCATTCCTAAATAATAGCTTGTGTTTGTGTGTTTTTCTTTTAGCAAAGCCACAACAGGCTAACTGCTGTGTCCACCGAGGGGAACTGAACCCAATTTTAGCATTGTAAATCCATAGTGGTACAGAGACTATGAGACATATAATGGGGCTGAATTTAAAATAAATCTACAATTACATTAATGGATGACATTAGTTTGGGGGAAAGAGCAAACAATATTTCAGGCATCCAACCATATCCTCCACTAGGCCTTGAAGTGATTCATGTTGTTAAAGTATTTATATATGACTGCATATATGAACTATTATAATTACTCCAGATTAATTAGTCAACCAACAAGCTTTCACAAATACATATGAAAAAACACTACATTTTTAAGACAGATTTCCAAAATATTTGTATGAACATAATTCATGCTCATTTCACATAGTTTCTATGTAACCAAGAAATAAACTCAAACCTTTCTACGAAAGTTGTATCAAAATGACAGTGCTTGAATATTATGAACAGTGATGTTGCCCACATTAAAAGGATATTAGACAACTTTTTATATTCTACCTCTATCCCAAGATATATTATTGTTTGTTAAAAATTCATCTTCATTGATTACATCACATTACAGCCAAAATTATGGTGTTCAAAGTTCACTAACCTTTGAATATACCATTATATCCTCCTTCTCTAGTGCCATCAGGTCCAGTCTCTTCAACATGGGCACCATTATCTGATGAGAAGTATACAAAAGTATTGTTTTTCACCTCCAGTTTCTCTAACGTATGAAGTATCTCCCCGACAGCCCAATCCAGTTCCTCAACATTGTCACCATAACGACCTGCAGCACTTACTCCAACAAACTCTGGACTGCTAAATAGTGCAGTATGTACATGAACAAATGGCATGAACAAGAAGAATGGTTTGTTTAAATTAGCTTGCTGATATAAAAACTCTTTGGCCTCTAAGGTGAACCTTTGTGTAAGGTTAGTCAGCCTGATTGGCTGTTCTACCACATCCTGATTTCGCATGATTATTCCATTGATTAGTTTCAAGTTGCAAACAAAAATTACAGTTAATAGTGGTATACCACAGAACAGCAACAGTATTAACAGACAAACTGGTATGGACCATTTATGAACCATTAGGGCTGTTGTGCACCCTATAATAAATATGGCTATCATATAGCCATAAAAGTGGGGAATAAAGGATGTTACAACACTAGAACCATCTGCACCAAAGTCCTTGAGGTTTGTTAGTGGAAGTCCATAAAAGTGATGAAATCCATGTTTTAGTGGATGATGGCAGAGGTCTCCTTGTTTATTACAATTCACACCAAGGTGCCATTTTCCTACAAGAAGAGTTTCAGCCATATCTTAATTTTTTATATGTTAATAATCAAATAAACATAGTTTTTCTTTATATAAAATATTAAACTGCTATCATTACAATAAATGGAGAAATTGTGTTCTTTTTATTATCAAGTAATGTAGAAATCTTTTGGAAATCTGTAGTTTCATTAAATAAAACAAAACTGTAGTTTAGATCATAAACATTCAGCTTAATTTGTGATTTGTCGAGGTGCGGTGTATTTATATTAAATTTCTAATTTGTATTGCAAAGCTTTATAAAACTAAAGATTCAATGTACTTTGAAGAATTGCTGATCTTGAATTATATAATTTCATAAAACTAGAAATAAAGAAAAGAATATATTAGGTAAATAATCGATACCCACCAATAAGGGCTGTTTCATAACCCTCATCTTGCAAAATTCTAGCAAAAGTAGTTTCATTTTCAGGTAGACCACCAGACTGAGCCATAAATAGAAATACTTTGTTTAGAAAAGTTGATTCCATGCCTGCAAATGCATGAGTCTGTTAACCAGGAATTGCCATATTGTTTGAAAATTTTTTATATTATAAACTTGTTCATGCTCTGTATGTTATTGAAAAAACAAACAATAATGTAGTTAATTTTTAAAATACATACTTAAAACACGTTGCAAAACGTATGTATGCAAGGTGGGTAATGTAAGCATCATTGAAATTTTGTAGACCATGACATGAAACATGCTAAGCTTCCTGAAGCTAATATATGTAAATTTACTACTCTGACCTACTGTGATTTTAAACTACACTCTATAGTATATCTACTATCATCAGATTACCTACAAAAATAACAAGGAATGTGATCCAAGAATATTTTCTGTGCTTTCAGATGGTGAATGTAATGGGTCAAATGAGAGTAATCAGCTTGGGACTTGAATCCTGATAGCTAGTTCAGTTGGTAAAGTATTGGTCTAAAAAAAAACCAGTATGATCCAAGGATTTCTTAGCATCCTGATCAACAGAGCTAATAGATGTAACACCCAAGCAGAGTACCTAGTAAACCAAATCACCTGTATGTATGTTTGTAACAGCAGCTGGGAAGGTATAGTGTGTGCAAACATTTGCTTGGAAAATATGTGCAGTGTTTATAATTTGGGGATGCCATGTTGTGGTATATTGTAGGTAGCTTGACAATGCCAGGTTGTGTTGTGTATTATAACTTGGGATTAAGAGTGAGAATTGAGTTGTAAGATTATGTAACTGTGAAGATAGGCATTATTAGCTTGGACTATACTGAACTCGTATATGTGTAAAACATCTTTAAAGTAGCCTCAGTTACCATTAAAATGCATCATTTTCAGTGAAAATTACAAACTTTCCAAGAGGACCCCAGACCCCCAGTACGTCTTCATCAATAATTTTTTTCCCTAAAAGTAGCAGCCCCCACTTTATAGATTTCCACCTATACCTCTGGTTTAACACCCTAATCTTTGGGAACAAAAATTACTAAAATATATAAAACATAATAGAGAAGCACTGAAAAAACTTCTGAATGAATTTGAACACAAGTTATCTTGCTTTTATGTTTATAACTCTTTACAACTGCAACATAATTTGGTTTTAAATGTTCATGTAAAATGACATTTTAAAGCAGATACAGTTAATCAAATTTGTATTGTTCTTATGCAAATGGCACACATTTTCTGTATTACTTAATTGTGAATATAAGAGTATATAAAATTTACAAATCCATATAGTTAAAAAAAAGTCAGTGATAATATTAACTCTTTCAGCACAGGCTCGGTCACTTGTAACCATTTTGTGCTTATTACAATTTTCATATTATAACTTTTAAAATACAATGCTTTCATAAGCAAAACATTTTTCTTTTTGTATGTTGCCTATCCTAGATGAAAAGTAATTTTCATTTTAAGATTAAAAATACTTTTATGCATCAGAAAATTTTCAAATTTCACATGAAACTTTTATAATGACCAGATAGTTATCATACATTTCTTAAGGAAAATCTTTATATTTTATCTGTTATTTTCAGTAATGAATCTCTGTATGGTTTCGGTAGATTTGACTGATCTTGTAACCACCATAAAAAATTATGAAATAAATATAAATTATGCCTCTTTCATTCTAGAATGAACACAAATTATATCATGAAAACATAAATGTTTAAACTAAATAGCTTAAATCTCATAACAATATACATTTTTATATATTTATTACTTTTATTATATTGACATTTCAGCCTTGCCTGGCTAACAATACAGAAGTTACAATGACGTGGCTCATGTGTACTCAAGTTACCATATCCAATAATATAAAAATAATCTTTGGTCTGTACAAAGGAATTTGTCTTGGCTGGGTTTTAGTAGACTAGTATTTTGTATAATACAGTCACATTTCAATAATTATACATTATATATGTATATAAATTATTGCTATTTTGAAATAAGTTCTTAAACTTATGTTTCTTAAAACATAGAACAGTAAATAAAGAAGTAAAGCAAACAATTATCTCTTCTAGTTATGACCTTTGTACTTGGTTGCTGCTTGACATAGGTTGCTAAGCCTTTAAAAATTTTGCATGTGAAGGATATGAAACAAAATAATTTTTTTAGGTTTTATATATACATTTGAATAATTAAAAAATCATAAATTATTACATCAATACCACAGAATTCCATTATAATTTATCAAACTTAGTAATTAAACTGTATTTGGGTCTAAAAAATATGAAATTTGGAGCAGACTACAGACACACCCTACCTCTTTGAAATATTGGTTCAAAAGTAAAATGGCTGAGAAAGCCACTAGGGGGACATTATGAGCTTCTGATTGGTTATTCATGTCATATATAGAAGTAAATGTATATAAGGGAGCGTTTCCAAAAATGGAAAGTGGTGGGTGGGGTGCCACTGTGTTTGATTTATTACAGGAGCAATATCTCAGCAAACAGAAATGATAAGACATTCTTATTTTATATTCTAGCTTTTCAATATCTGTAATTTGAATTTCTAATTCGTATGACACTATAGACTTAGTATTTTGACTTCACAAACATCTAATTTGAACCAGTGCTTGATTCAACATACCACGAGACACACAAAAACCGAAGTGTATCTGGGTGTTTAATATTTATTTTGAATTTAGGAAAGTGG